AACTCATACTGAGTTTCTAAACTCAGGGGCGGTCGACCGTGGCGGTCGACCGTAGACTGACACATAGCTGAAATGCAGATTTCTGAATTTAAAATCTTATTTAAAAATATCAAACAAATTCAAAAAAAATATAAAACTTTGGGGAATGATTATAGAAATGATAATAAACATGCTACAATGATTTGTTTCTAAAAAGGACTTCCCAAAAGAAAAATATCATCATTTTATAAAATAGGCCAAAACATGAAAATGTAAACATGTGAATTTTGACATTTTAGCTAAAACATGTTTTGAAACTTTACACAATGATTATGTAGACTTAATAAAATATGTATATGATTATTGTTAAGTCCAAAAACTAAGAATACAATATATTTATAAATACAATAGAAAATAAAACATATGAGTATGTATATGAAAATATATTTGATTCATATCTATGTAGTTAAACCAAATCACAATAATAAATATGAAATATGTAATTTCATATTTGTAAACATGAAAACCCAAAACCATACATGTATATATATAACTATATATATACGTAGAAACCAAATACGTGTGTGTATATGATATTGAGCTCAAGGTACTTAACACACATAATATAAAACCTAAACTAAGTTACCTAAGCTAGATCTTAATTATCAATAAGCTCGACTTGGTACACTTACGGATGAAGCTTGAACTTGGATCTTGAACTTGAATTGTACATAGCTTCACCTACTATTCCGCCAACTTCCATTAGATATTATCGTTGAAGCTCTATTCCATCCATCCTCCAATAAATTGTTTGCCTAGAATAAATACGAAAACACAAATATTAGACAAACAACATTAGAAGTAAATTATTTGCTAAACATCATCAAAACAAAGAGGCCAACAATCTCCCCCTTTTTGATGATGACAAATAGTAAATTATTTGCTAAACATCATCAAAACAAAGAGGCCAACAATCTCCCCCTTTTTGATGATGACAAATAATTTACAAAAAGTCTCCCCCTTTTTGATGATGACAAATAATTTACAAAAAGGATATATGCATGAAAGGAAATGAATATATAATATAATAATTATCATGCATATGAACAAAAAGAATATATACTCACAATATTTCTCCCCCTTTGACAACATCAAAAAGGGGACAAAAGTATGAAGAGAGCGAAAGCTTCCCCTATCAATAAGCATATGTGAGTATAACACATAGAAAGATATAGGGATTGCTCCCCCTATCAAAATGCCATATAGAATATATGTAATAAAAGATCATGGCAAATATGTGAGCAAGCATAAAAAATTTGCTAAATATCACACACATACAAGAGGATAATGAGAACACCTATAAATATATCAATATGAAAAGTGTCTCAAAGCATTAGTTTTTAAAACAAAACCACTACAAACCTTGCATCTAAAATCAAAACTAATAATCATGAAAACAAAAGATTTGATCAGTTAAAAATTGTTTTCATATAAAAAGATTTCAAAGCATAATTTTCAAAACCAAGATAAAGAAAAATAAAAATACTAAAATTTTTGGTTTAAAATCAAATTTGTTTTGGTACCCAAGTAATCTTGGTACCAAAAGGTTTAGGGACATGACCCCTATCATTTAAGCTCAAAGCCCTAGGGTTATGAACCCGTTTAGGTGCATATGGTGCACTAGCATGGTCAAAACAAAAATTGTACTCATGACCTTTCCGATTGCAATAGGTGCAATAAAGAGGGTTAAATGATTTGTGTTGACCAAGTGGGCGTGCACGAGAATCATTTGCAAATAAAGATTTTTCTTTTAAATTATTTTGCAAATGAGAAACATCATTAAACAAAGATGGTTTCTTTGGAGCATTTTGCAAAATAGAAACTTTTTGCACATCAAAACAAAATTTAGCAAGATGTCCAAACCTACCACAAACATCACATTTAAAAACATGTGGTCTACTAGAAATATTTGGCAAATGAGATTTATTTTTTAAATCAGAACAATATTCGGCCAAATAACCAAAACGACCACAATGATCACACTTGAACACACTAGAATGCTTATGATGAACAATGGGTGCATGTGTGTGTACATGTGATGAAGAAGCTACATGGGATGCTCAAGGAGCATTGACATTTTTATGTTTGTGTGCATCATAGCAAAATTTAGCTAGATGGCCTTTACGACCGCAAATAGAGCACTTGTAAACTTTGTTATATATGTGTGCATGATGAGTGGATGATTTCTTAGATTTCTTAGATTTGGCAAATGAGATTTATGTTTGTGTGCATCATTATTAATGCATGTTTTCAAAGTTGAATCTAAAGATGAAATGCATTTATTCATAAGATTCAAATCTTTATTTTTAGGCACATATGCATTAGAAGTAGAACATAAATAGTTTTTTTTTTTGTTCAATGAAAAATTTTATTCATTTCCCAATTTGTAAAGTTTGTATATACATCAAATCTCACTATATTTCCTAGTGAGAACCAAGAATTCTAACATATTTATGATTGATTACAATCCTCCTATCTTTTCCTTTACATAATCAGGTATATCTTCATTAAGCACCTTAGTTAAGATTTGATTACAATCCTCCTATCTTTTCCTTTACATAATCAGGTATATCTTCATTAAGCACCTTAGTTAAGATTGAGATTTTCACCTCCCTAATCAGCCTTTACATAATCAGGTATATCTTCATTAAGCACCTTAGTTAAGATTGAGATTTTCACCTCCCTAATCAGCTGGACTGGAGTGTGATTTTTCCCTTGAAAAATCCTCAAATTCCTTTCCTTCCAAATCCAATATACAGCAGCCAGAGAGCCATTCTTTTCACTTTCTTCATATATCCCTTCCCTTTCAGTTCAGCACTATACCAGTTCACCACCTGATCCCAGTTGCATGACTTCCACTAGTAACTTAACCACTCCATGACTCCATTCCAGATAGTTGCAGAGTATTGGCATTCAAAAAACAGATGCTTACATGTTTCTTGTTGAGATGCACACAGTGTGCATAGGTTTTCTGTTATCATTCCCATTTTACATAGCCTCTCCTTAGTTAGCAATCTTGAGCGGTTGGCTAGCCATAGGATTATTGAATGTTTAGGGTAGTTAAGCCCCCCCCCCCCAGATTGAGTCTGACATTGCATCATTTTGAGTTGTCGAATGAGTCAGGGCATTGTATATCTCAGATATTTGTATTTTCCCATTATCATAGCATTCTTTCATAACTCTCTGCAGATTGTTACTATCACCAAATTTATTAAGAGCCAAGTCTCTAACCTTGAGTAGTTGCCTCCACATCCAAGAATTAGTTTTTCTTGCTTGAATTTGCCATATATCTCCTTGGTGTATGTAGTTTTCATGCACCCATTTAATCCATAATATATCCTTTTTTGTATGAATCATCCATAACAGTTTCATTGCAGCTGCATAATTCCATGTTTTTGCACTGTATAACCCCAGACCTCCCATTTTCCTGTCTGTGCATACTTCTCTCCAAGATACCAGATGCATCTTGCAGTTCCATAGGAAATCAGAGCACAACTTGTCTATTTTCTGTAACACTCTTATGGGAAGGATGTAGCTACTTGTCCAATAATTCTGAATCCCCATAATAACAGTTTTAATTAACTGAATTCTTCCAGCATATGACATTTTTCTTCTGCTTTGCCATCCTTGGATCTGTTCTGAAATCTTGCTAATCAAACTTGAGCAATCAAGATGTGAAAGTCTTTTAGAAATCAGAGGCATCCCCAAATATCTAATTGGTAGAGAACCTTCAGAAAATCCCAGTAGAGAACATATTTGAATCCCGACATTGTCCTCAACCCCTCCCAGATAGACAGCACATTTAGTGGAGTTTGCTTCTAATCCAGAAACTCTACTGAAGTCTTGAAGACAACTATTCAGTTTACTGATAGACTGAATATCAGCTTTACTGAACAATAGCAAATCATCCGCAAATATTAAGTGAGTTATCCCCAAGCTAGAGCATCTAGGATGGTATTTGAACAGGTTATCAGTTCTAAGCTTCTTCATCCTCCTAGACAAATACTCCATCCCAATAACAAATAAATATGGTGATAGAGGATCCCCCTGTCTCAGTCACCTTGCCCCTTCAAAGTAACCATGTAAAGATCCATTAAGGGACAGAGAATATTTTGTAGTAGTTATACAGGTCATAATCCATCTAACCATTTTTCCTGGAAATCCCAATCCTGCCAACATAGCTTTAATGAAATCCCAGCTTATCGTATCAAATGCTTTTCTCAAATCTATGTTGAGTGTAGCTCTCGGGGATATATGTTTCCTACCATAATGCTTTACCATCTCATGAGCAAGTAGAATGTTATTTGAGATAATCCTACCTTTGACAAAGGCACACTGTGCATCATTTACTAAATATCCAATGACTTTCTGGATTCTAGCAGTTATTATTTTTGATATCACTTTGTAGACACAATTACAGCAGGAAATTGGTCTAAACTTAGATGGTGAGCTTGGATTCAGAACCTTAGGAATTAAAGTGATAGTAGTTGTATTGAGAGAGCCAAGTAGTTTACCAGAACTGAAGAACTCCTGAACAGCCTTGATCATGTCTGCACTAATAATATCCCAGGTGCTTTTGAAGAATGATGCACTATAACCATCAGGTCCAGGGGCCTTTTCATCAGAGATAGAAAAAACAACATGCTTGATCTCTTCATTGGTGATTGGAGATTCCAGTTCATTTCTATGACTATCCATAAGAATGGTACCATCAGAAATGACTGCAGGGTCTGGCTCTAAAGTATTCACTTTTTTCCCAAGCATATTTCTGTAGTATTCAATAAATTCAGTAGCAATTTCAGGCAAATCTGTAATCCTCCTTCCATTCTCTGTATAGAGTGTTAACACTCTATTTTGATGCCTTTTAGCTTTCATGATTGAATGGAAATATTGTGAGCTTCTTTAACACTCTATTTTGATGCCTTTTAGCTTTCATGATTGAATGGAAATATTGTGAGCTTCTATCCCCATGCACAGCCCAACTGATATTTGCTTTTAGCTTTCATGATTGAATGGAAATATTGTGAGCTTCTATCCCCATGCACAGCCCAACTGATATTTGCCTTTTGTCTATGAAATGATTCTTCACATTGAAGTAGCCTGTTGTATTTTTGAATGCATTTTTTCTCCTGAGTAATCAGATTCTGGTTTAGAAGATCCAGACTCATCTGATTTTGTACTCCCAGTAATTCCTCTTTAGCTCTTGCAACTTGCTCTCCAATGTTCATGAAATGCTTCTTATTTAACTCTTTGAGAACAGGCTTCAGCTTCTTAAGTTTAGAGTAAAATTGGTACATGTTGTACCCTTTTATCTCTTGACCCCAGACAGAATTCACAAGAGCAAAGAAGTTAGGATGTTTTGTCCACATTTTATAGAATTTAAAAGGTTTTTTTCCTTGAAAATCCTCCTCCCCAACAGACACAAGAGCTGGAGAATGATCTGAGCACATTAGTACTAGAAATTCCACCTGGCTTGTTGTATAATGATGCAACCATTTATCATTAATCAGAATTCTGTCAATTCTGCTCCAGACTCTAGTATTAGTATCTTGCTTATTATTCCAAGTGTAGAAACATCCAATAGATTTTATGTGAAGAAGTTGGCTTGATGAAATAAAGTTTTGGAAGTCTTCTGTGTCAGCATCTGAAATAGGAGCTCCTCCCATTTTTTCTTCAGCACTAATGATTGCATTAAAATCTCCCCCAACCAACCAAGGGCAGTTTACATTTTGTTTGATTTCCAGAAGATCCTGCCATAATCTTTTCCTATTCTCCCTTTGATTTGAGGCATAAACCATAGACATTAAGCATGATAGTTTTCCATTCTTCAATTGGACAAAGCAAGTCAGGCATTGATCAGTTATGCTACTACTCTGAACTGTCATTAAATCATTGTTCCAAAGTAACCAGATTCTCCCATTACCAGCTTCCTGAACATTTGAAATCCAATTCCAGTCTCTAGCAAATTTCCTGGCAATATGCTCCATCTTTTCTTCCTTTAGTTTTGTTTCTAGAAGAGCTATAAAGGGAATATTGTACTGATATATAAATTTCTTTACAATTAAATGCTTAGAGGATTTGTTGAATCCTCTAATATTCCAAATGGCTAAATGCATTTATTGATCCCCCCTGTTAATATGACAAGGGTCAAAGCCATATACCTGTGGGTCTAGAGGGGAGAATTGAGTTTTCTGATTTGAATTCCCATCAATATTGATTGTTGTTCTTCTAGCAATATGTGCTCTACTCACACTTGTGAATCCTGATGCATTCACAGTTGGGGATTGATATACATTTGTAAGGCATGGGCTACCATGCTTGATGCCTTGTGCACCTGGTGAGCCTACAGCTTTACCCTTGTCTTTTAAGCTGTGCATGTTTTCTGTTAGTTGCTGTGATGTATTGCACCCTTCCTTACTCATACTATCTTTTCCCTGAGCCTCATATGCAGATTCATTATCTGGTAAAACCTTTTGCACATCATTCTCTTTTCCTGTATTAGTATTCAATCTATCAACCTGCTCCTGAGCACTGTGCGTATCAGTTTGCACCTTATGAGCTTGCACAACTTCCTTCTGTTTATTAACAGGAACCCACATTTTTCTTCCTTTTTGCCTCCTGCAGTATTCAGTATCATGTCCCACAATATTACAGACTGTGCACCATTTTGGCTTAAGTTCATATATGACATTTTGCCTATACTTTTTGCCATCAGGTCCTTGTATTTCAACTATATCAGGTAGTGGTTCTTTTAAGGGCAGCTTCACTTCCAGTAGAACCCTAGCATAGCTTAGCCTTTGCCTTGTTGCTGTAAGCATGTCAGTTGTAATTGGACATCCTATAAGACTTGAGATTTTGCTGATACCTGTAGCACTCTATAGGTTGAGCTTCAAATTTGGAAATTGTACCCATAATGGATAAGAACAATCTTGTATTTTTTCCACTTCAGAGTCAATTGACCAAGGCTTGAGTACCAATGGTCTTGAACCAAAAAACCATGGTCCTGCATCTAACACTTTTCTCATCTGTTGCTCCGATGGGAAATCAAATAAGAATACACCTGATTTGATTAGAATGATTTTAGGAATTGAAATTCTCCCCCAAGCTTTATTTACATATGCTTCCATGGATTTGAATTTTGCATTGAATCCTATAACATGACCTATTAGAGCATTCTTCCAGTAATCAACTCCTTCCCTCCATTCCATTTCATTAAAAACAGCAGCATTAGATTGATCAGATGGTATGAAATTAAGGGGCAAGCCTTTTCCAGGTTTTCTATTATCTGTAAACAAGCTGGCAAAGGATTTCTTCTCACTTTCCTTTGTTAAATCTATCTCATCTTTCAGTTCATCATTCTTTTCCACCAGGTTGATTTTCTTGTAATTTTTTGAAGATTGAGCTACAGGTTTATTTATGTTGAAGTAGTGCCAATGAAGGCACTACTTCAACATAAATAGTTATTTATAAAGGAAGCAGTATCATTTTGTATGTTCTCTAGTTCTATCATGGCATTATTTTTGTCATAAGTCAAGTTAGCAATATCTAATTTTAAATTATTATTTTCTAAATTTAACATATCATTGTTTTTCTTGAAGAGCAATACTTTCTTGAGAAATGATATAAAATTTGGAAGCTAACTTCTCATGATCGGATTTTAAATCTTCATGCTTTCTTTTTAAATCAATAAAATCATTTTGCAATTTCTTATAGGCATGCAATAATCTTTCACTAGTACAAGCGAGTTCATCATTAGGTAAACCATTAATAGATTCGAACTCGCAAACCTCACTAGGGCTATCGTCTAGTGCGCGTGTGCATGAAGCTCCTTTAGAACTTAAAGCGGGATCCTCCAAATCTTGTCGGATCGCCTCCAAGTCTCCTTGATACGCTTCTATGAATTTCCATAATGTATAAGCGCTATCAAAAGAATCAAGCTTGTTAGACATAAATGAATCAAATGTATTTAATAAAAATTCTAACATAAGCTTGTTCATAATAAACATCTTTTTATCATGTTTGCTCCACTTGGATTTCTCCAACGTGGGCACAATATAAGCACAATCAATGATTTCCCATAAATCAATATTTTTAGATTGAACAAATATTTTGAATCTAAAGCATCATTGACCGTAGGGGAAAACATTGAATTTAGGAGCAACATTAGAATCATAGCCTAAACAAGATGCATCATTCATATCCATAATTTGTAAAAAAATGCAAGCAAGATACAAATATAATCAAAACAAGATTAGCACAAAAAGATAACTTAGATCTTTAACTCAAGGCAATTAGACCTTAAATCAAAGAGCACCAAGCTCTGATACCAATTGTTGGACCCTAGAGGGGGGGAGGGGTGATTAGGGTCTTATGCTAATCTAATCTGATTTTATACCAATTAAAACTAATTAACAAATATATTCTTGCAAGATAGATATACAAGAGTTATAAGCAAGAATAAGCAATATGAATAAAGAGATATATCCTATATGATAAAAATATATGCAAGGATATATAAACTAACACAAGGGCAACCAATATGATCAAACTACAAATGTGATAGGGAGAAATATACAAGAGTAAGAGGCAATAGGTGATATAAGAAAAATGCATAAGCAAATGCGTCAATGACAAACTCAAACACACTCAAATGATCATGGGGTTCGGACCTTCCGTCCTACGTCTCCGCTCCCCACTCCTGGGGAGAAATCCACTATCACAATCAGGTTTTCTACGCTTACCTCACACTTGATTTTCTAGCTAACCGAAAACTTTATAATCAACACTCTTGCAATCCCACTCTACACCTACTAAGTGGTGGAACTAGACATTGTTTGTGGAAAATTTGCAGTAAAAGAAACGAAGGAAAATTGATTTGTATTCCTTTAATCTCAGTTACAATTGGATTTCCTGATTACAAAAGAGAAGAGAATGATCTGGATTCTCTCCTTTGTTTAATTCTGGGTTCTTCACGGTGGCGATGAGATGCCTCCCTCGAATGCTCGCGTCGAGTTTGCTTCTCGTTGACGATCCGACGTCTTGTTTCACTGGAACATAGTCTTCTCCTCACGATTTGACGTTGTGGAGAACTCTGAACGAGTTTGAAACTCTATGAAAGAGTTGATTTAACCGAAAGTCGGTTATAAGCCAAGGATGAAGAAGATCTTATTGCCGATCTCCAAAGCTCCAAAACTCAGTTGAGTTTACCCATATTTATAGGGAATTAAGGGGTGTAACCGCCCCCTTAATTCTCTCCATAGTGGGGCGGAAATCGATCCCCTCAGATCGTGGGAAACGGTTTTGAAACCGTTCAGCTCGTGTTTGAACGAGTCAAACGCAGGCCCGCGTTCTGGTATGAATTTTGTCTCCAAACGCAATGCCTAAAAGCTTGAACGCAGCATCTGGAAGCTCGGACGCAGCGTTGTGAAGTTGCGTTGTGCAGCGATTTGGAGCTACGTTCTACGGCTGATTGGAGCTGCGTTTGAGCGACTGTTTGAACTGCGTCTGACAACGATTGGAGTTGCGTCTGATAGCGGATTGGAGCTGTGTCTGGCAGCGGATTGGAGCTGCGTTCAGCTGCTGATTTGAGTTGCGTTCAGCGGTTGATTTGAGCTGCGTTCAGCGGTTGAAGTTGCGTTCAGCTGTTGATTTGAGCTGCGTTCGTGGCTATGAACATGGTGCGTCTTGATGCTGGTTCGTGGGGAGGACTTCCACGTCTTGGTTTGAAGAGACCGTCGATTTGTAGTCTCTTTCTGTCGAAGTTTTGCAAAGATTATCATTTTGTAATCTTTACTTTAGCTCTTTGATATGCAAGAGTCGTCAGATTGTAACTCTCGATGTTGGTTATGAAGGCTGTTTGATTAGAGCTTCCATCAGTTGTCGTGAAGGTCGTCAGATTGTAACCTTCAGCGATCTACGTGAAAGTCTTCAAATTGTAACCTTCTGGAAGTCGTCAGATTGCAACTTCCATCATCGGTGTTTTGATGGGGATCAGCTATCTATTGTGATTTTTAGACAGCCTACAGAACCCCCTCCAAAGTTTTCGAAAGTTCGCGGTTGACTGGGACAAATTTTTGGAATACTTTGGATCTTAACTCTGATCTTGGAGCTGTTGATTTCTTGTGGTAAAGGATTTGTTCTCTGCACTTACTTCGAAGGCATCATGGTTGAAGGGATTTGCCACGTAGGACCTGTGTGAAGGTATGCGCCGTAATCCTGCTTCTGGAATGTGGGGGTGAACCCTGCATTTTGAATTTGAGATGTGGGTCTCACCCTTGCATGTTGAATTTGGAACACAGGTGTGACCTCGGCGTTCGGTTTTTGCGTCGCGGGTCTGACCTCAACGTTTTGACTTAAGACATGGAAGTGGCTTCCGTGCATTTTTGACTAAGTCTTTGAGACTTGTCTTTGGCTCACATCCTATTGAAGAGGATTGATAAGTAGGTTGTCAGAGGTTTGGTGTTAACATGACGGGAATTTGTTGCGATCGGAGCAACTTTGTGGACTTATCATCCTATTGATGAGGATTGATAAGTGGGTTTTGTCAGAGGTTTAGTGTTAACGTGACAGGATTTGTGTTGCGATTGGAGCAACTTTGTGGACTTATCATCCTATTGATGAGGATTGATAAGTGGGTTTTGTCAGAGGTTTAGTGTTAACGTGACAGGATTTGTGTTGCGATTGGAGCAACTTTGTGGACTTATCATCCTATTGATGAGGATTGATAAGTGGGTTTTGTCAGAGGTTTAGTGTTAACGTGACAGGATTTGTGTTGCGATTGGAGCAACTTTGTGGACTTATCATCCTATTGATGAGGATTGATAAGTGGGTTTTGTCAGAGGTTTAGTGTTAACGTGACAGGATTTGTGTTGCGATTGGAGCAACTTTGTGGACTTATCATCCGATTGAAGAGGATTGATAAGTAGGTTGTCAGAGGTATGATGTTAACGTGACAAGAATGTGTTGTGATTGGAGCAACTTTGTGGACTTATCGCTCTATTGGGGAGAGTCGATAAGTTAATTGTCAGAGGTATGGTGTTAACGTGACAAGAGGATGTGTTGCGATGGGAGCAACTTTATGGACTTATCATCCTATTGATGAGGATTGATAAGTGAATTTGTCAGAGGTATGATGTTAACATGACGGGAATTTGTTGCGATCGGAGCAACTTTGTGGACTTATCATCCTATTGATGAGGATTGATAAGTGGGTTTTGTCAGAGGTTTAGTGTTAACGTGACAGGAATTTGTTGCGATCGGAGCAACTTTGTGGACTTATCATCCTATTGATGAGGATTGATAAGTGAATTTGTCAGAGGTTTAGTGTTAACATGACGGGAATTTGTTGCGATCGGAGCAACTTTATGGACTTATCATCCTATTGACGAGGATTGATAAGTGAATTTGTCAGAGGTATGGTGTTAACATGACATTGCGATCGGAGCAACTTTGTGGACTTATCATCCTATTGATGAGGATTGATAAGTGGGTTTTGTCAGAGGTTTAGTGTTAACGTGACAGGATTTGTGTTGTGATTGGAGCAACTTTGGAGACTTATCATCCTATTGACGAGGATTGATAAGTGGATTGTTGTCAGAGGTATATGTTAACGTGACAGAATGTGTTGCCTATTGATGAGGATTGATAAGTGGGTTTTTGTCAGAGGTGTGATGTTAACGTGACGAGATTGTGTTACGATTGGAATAACTTTGTGGACTTATCATCCTATTGAAGAGGATTGATAAGTGGAATGTCAGAGGTTTGGTGTTAACGTGACAGGATTGTGTTGCGATAGGAGCAACTTTGTGGACTTATCATCCTATTGAAGAGGATTGATAAGTGGAATGTCAGAGGTTTTGGTGTTAACGTGACAAGATTGTGTTGCGATCGGAGCAACTTTGTGGACTTATCATCCTATTGAAGAGGATTGATAAGTGGATTTTGTCAGAGGTGGTGTTAACGTGACAAGATTGTGTTGCGATCGGAGCAACTTTGTGGACTTATCGCTCTATTGGGGAGAGTCGATAAGTTAATTGTCAGAGGTATGGTGTTAACGTGACAAGAGGATGTGTACTTGTGATTTGAACAAGATTTTAGGAATTAGCGTCTCACTAGGAAGAATTGCTAAATGAGATTATCATCACGAGCGATGAACTTTGGTACTTGTGATTTGAATAAGATTTGGAAAATTTATCACTCTGTTGAAGGGAGTTGATAAATTAATTGTAATTTGAGCTATTTTGGAGACTTATTGCTCTGTTGATGAGAGTCAATAAGTTAATTTTGACAGAGGAATTGTTGTCACATCCAGGATGATGTAAGCCGAATCCAAACTCTATGGAGATAATGGTTGTCATAAGTGTAATGTTAACTTGACGACGTTAGGGAATTTTGTCTGCTGATACAGCTTGGGCCCTGTTGAAGATGTACAAAGGTTTTGTCA